AGCAAGTGTATAAATATATCTTGAGATCACTTTTTTGTTTTATATTTATATATAATAACTTACATATTAAATAGACATATCATTTATAAAAGTTTGTATAGAAATATATATTATGTATTCATATTATTGTTCTAATTTTTATAAATTATCCCTTGAGAATGGAGGGGGTCATGCTCTTCTAGTGACAGAGAAACACTGACAAATGACCATGGTTACCTGGTGGGTGAAGCAGGACTATCCAGGGGTCCACTGACCCATTGCACCCCCTAGTTCTTCCTGCCAACAAATGGGCACACACTCTAAAGTAAAGTAAATCTTTGTATTTAGCCAATATATGAGGCAAAATAAACTGGTTACGAGCTGACTTGGCCACAATACAGGGTTAAAAATGATGACATAGTAGTCTGACATAGAAAACGGTCCACTGCCAGGCATGGCAACTTTTACCATCAGCTTATGTAAGTTTTCAAATAGTTGCTAGTGTTTGTAATATATTTGCCTCCTTGAATATATTTGCTTTCCGTCTTTAGCTTCTCTAACCAAAAAAATAAAATCTTGTTGCTGTCGAGTGATTTTGACTCATAGCAACCCTATAGGACAGAGTAGAACTGCCTGATAGGGTTTACAAAGTGGCAAATCTTTACAGAAGCAGACTGCCACATCTTTCTCCTGCAGAGCAGCTAGTGGGTTCAAACCACCGACCTTTTGGTTAGCAGCTGAGCACTAATGCCACATAAAATTGTTTGATTTTAATTTGCTTGTGTTTGAGATGATCTACAAATTGATGTAAGTTCCAGTTCACCTCAGCCTGTTGTGTCCAAAAATGCCCCTGGCCCTTATAAATTTGACCGAAAAGCTACATACATATACATATATGTGTGTGTGTGTGTGTGTATATATATATATATATTTTTTTTTTTTAGCTAATTAGGGGATATTTTTAATTTGGATCTCTATATCCTTAAAGGCCATAGGCTTTTCAAGGACGTTGATGTTGTACAATTGCACAACAACTAAATTATTGTGCATAATTCTCCAATCCAATTTTAGAATTATGCTCAGAGGAGTGTTCTAATATATGGCCCTGACCATTCCTTAGTGTTTGTTTCAGTCCATTGATCACTTTTTTCTTTATTAGAACAACAGTTTTATACATTTTATAGTTGAGTGTCTTCCTGTACTGTTCAGCCTCTCCATTCACAGATACCCTCCACTGATTGTTATTAATAAATAATTAGGATCTATAGCTAGTCTCTGTGTGTCAACAGTTGCTGTTGAGTCAGTTACAACTTAGGGCCAACTCATGTGTGTCAGAGTGGAGCTGTGTTCCATAGGATTTTCAATGGCTGATTTTTTCGGAAGTAGATTGCCAGACCTTTCTTTTGAGGTGCCTCTGGGTGGACTCAAACCTCCAACCTTTCAGTTAGCAGCCAAGTTCATTAACCATTTGTGCCACCCAAAGACTTCAAAGGGTTATTAGACATGCTATAAGTTGTCACTTTCCACCAGAGGGAATGACTCATAATCTAGTTTCAAATTCAGGTAGAGTGAAGTGATAAATCAGCTTTGAACAGTATAGCACAGCGATTAAGGGCGTGGACTCTGAAGCCAGGCTGCCTGCTTCAAATCCTGGCTTTGCTACCTATGAGGCTGATGAGACCCTTGACCTTTCTGTCTCAGTACCTGCTGCTTATCTGTTCATACAGCTGCTGTTGCATATGTGTGAGTGACTCATCAAGTGTTGAGATGGTACCTGGCACCCTGTAAGTACTCAGTATTTGCTGTTATTCATAGCTGTTCATTACCAGAAGTAACAGCAATAGAGATATGCAGGGTACTGGCCTCTAGTGCTCCCAGGGCAGCTCACTCCTCTTTGGACACTGGTACTCTTGGCCAGTTCATACATTGCTTCTCAGAACCCAAATTATATTCTGTTCTCTTGAGTCTCTGTGGCTTAAATCCACAATGTGTTCTGTGCCAAAGAGGGATTTTGCTTCTCTTTTGTGTGTTCCTTTGTTCAGCTTACAACAAAGCAATACTACCCTATACTGTTAAGGCATTTTATTTAATTTGGGAGTTTCTGTCTCTCTCTTTTAATGCTGTCTCTCCTAAAATTCAAACGTGAATTCACTGGATCCAATCTGAGAAACATATCAGATTATACTTCAAATTGCCTTTATCCTGAGTACTGAGGAGCTGTGATAGATCAAACATGTCTGTGATCTTTATTTTAGAATAATATTTCCTAGGAATCTTTGTTTCATTGTGCAAATATATCTGTAAGCCTGCGCATCAGCCCTTTCAACGTGTCCATGAGCATCTATATTCCAAAGGTAAACATATCTTACAATAAGCGTGGGGGCATTTCATTTCCAAGATTAATTTGATTAATGTTTAACAGGTGATGTTCTCACAAAGAAAAATTTAGGGACTTAAGTGATTAAGTGTTTAATTCACATTTGTTGTGTTTTATTTTTTTGTTTTTTTTTCTTAAGGAGAGAGACAAAGCTGCAAGAATTATCCAGTCAGCTGTAATCAATTTTCTAACTAAACTAAGATTGAAAAAGGAGATTATTGCAGCACTGGTCATTCAGAAATATTGGCGAAGATTCTTAGCACAGAGAAAATTATTAATGTTAAAAAGGGAAAAACTGGAAAAAACTCAAAATAAATCAGCAGCAATTATTCAGGTATAGTATCCTGGACTAATTTTTTTAATTACAAATTTTTTTTTTTAATTTAATGATATTTTTAAGGAAGAAGATAAAATGTAATAAAGTTCTAAATGATTATAATTCTATATTTTATCTAATATTTAATTTTAACAAATATTAATACCTGCCTACTACCTGCATAACACTGTATTGTGTTCCGCATATGAGCTTGAACTAACCTTGTATTCTGGGATAAAACCCACTTATTTGTGGTATGTTATTCTTTTTATATATTGCTTGATTCCATTTGTTAATATTTAGGTGGATAGTTTTGCAACTCTCTTCATGAAGCATATTGGTCTGTTTTCTTGTACTCTTTTCTTATGGTTTTGGTATCAGGGTAATAAACTATCTTCATAAAATGAGTTAGGAAGTTTTCTCTTCCTCTTAATTTTCTGGAAGACATCGTGTAGAATTGCCAATATTTCTTCTTTTCAGGTTTGGAAGAATTCACTAGTGATACCATCATGATCTGGATATTTCTTTATATGAAAGCTTTTAATACAAATTCTGTTTTTAAAATTATCATAGGACTAATTCATCTTCAGTGAGTTAGTTTATGGTTTTCAAAGAATTGGTCCATTTCATCTACCTTGTCAAATTTACGTGTGCATCGTTGTTCATAGTATGCCTTTGTTATCCTTGCTCTATATGATTTCAATTCTTTTAAATTTGTTAAGGTTTGTTTTATGACCCAAAAGAGGTCTTCCTTGATCAGGGGTTGGCAAAGTATGGCCGGTGGGCTAAATCTGGCCTACCACCTGGTTTTGTAAATGTAGTTTTTTAGAACACAGCTATACCCATTCATATATGTGTTGTTAATGGCTGCTTTTGCATTATGGTAGAAGAATTGAGGTTTGCAGCAGAAATGCCCTACAAAGCTGAAGATATTTACTATCTGGCCTTTTAAAGAAAAAGTTTGCTCACCCCTGATCTTAATGAACGTTTCATGCGCACTTAAAAAGAATGTGTATTCTGCTATTGTTGGGTGGAGTGTTTCTCTATAGGTAATGTGTCATTTCTCTCTGGCTGCTTTTAAGAGCTTTTCTTGGTAATTAATTTTCAGCAGCTCATGTATGGCCATGTGTTTCTTTGAGTTTATCTTGCCAAGGGTTCACTGAGTTTTTTGAGTCTGTGATTTTATGTCTACGGTATAATTTGGACAGATTGAGCCGTTATTTCTTCAGAAGTTTTTTCTGCACTGCACTCTTTCTCCTCACCCTGTGGGACACTGATGACACAAATGTTAGATCTTTGATATTGCCCCACACTTCCCTGAGGCTTGTTCATTTTTTTCCCAATCTTTTTTCTCTTTCTTGTTCAGACTGGATAATTTATATTACCTATCTTCAAGTTCACTGACTCTTTCGTGTGTCACCTCCATCCCATTATTGAGCCTTTCCAGGGAGTTTTATATTTTGGTTATTGTATTTTTCAGCTCTAATATTTCCATTAGGTTGTTATTTCTACATTTCATGTCTTTGCTGAGACTTTCTATCTTTACATTAGTTTAAACAGTTTCCCCTTGTTGGAGCCTTTTAACATTGGCTTCTTTAAAGTCTTTGTCAGATAATTCCAATGTCTGTGTCTTCTCAGCATTGACATCTGTTGATGGTTTTTTCCTGTGAAAGTTGAGATTTTCCTGGAAGTACTTTGCCAAGTAATTTGAATTGTACCTTGGGTATTTTGAATATTATGGTATAAGAATCTGGGCTTTTTAAAAATCTTGCAGCAAATGTTGGTGTTTTTGTTTTACAGTGATATATACTTAGTAAAAGCTCTTTATTTTTAATGCATATGTGACAGTGCTGATAGAATTGCTATTGTAATGTGCAGAGTTGTTAGGAGAGGAAGTGGACTTATAGCCCATGTTAAATATCGAAACAGATTAATATTTCAGTATCAGACTAGTAGCAGTATTTAGAAGGAATGATTATGGACATGTAAAATAATCTAGCCACACTGACCTTTCATTTCTGAGTTTGAGGGTTTTATAGACAAAATGTTTAGGGAGGAAAGAATAATGGTATGCATTCTTCAACTCTGAATACTATTTATGCTTTATGTTTCCTAGTTCTTTTAAGGTAGCTTAATAATGCCTTACATTTATATATCGCTTCAAGTTTTCAAAGCCATTTTACATAAGCAAGCTGGACTGTAGTCAAATAAATGTTTAATTACTTGTGCAACTTTCATAGTAAAAGAAATTATGTGAAGTACCCATCACTTCTTGTCAGGTGATGCATAGTAGAGGAATAAGGCAATGTCCGTTAGGGAAAACTTAGAGGTAAAGAGTCAGCAGAATGCACATGTTGTCTCTAATTCTCCTCAGCCATGTACAGATGTGCTTGGGCCAAGCATAGCTCCATGCATAATGAGTAGTGCTATAGGAGAGGGAGAGACCCAGCCTCATACTCCTTTTTATGAGTAAGTGAAATAAGGCCATAGAGAATACCCCACAATCTTGGTAATGTTGGGAGTGTTTTGGACAAAGTAATGGCCTTATTGCCAAAAGAACATTCAGAGCTTGTGCCCCAGTATCCTGGGGTCATTTAGATATTAGCAACTGAAATCAGCTTGAGACTTTGTAGCCCTTTCTGTTGAGCCACCTCATTGCTGGGTTAATAACGGGGCAGGGAATGTGGGGTGGGGTGTGAAGGGTGCAGCCATGGGTTTTTAAGAGACAAGCAGTTTATCACTTCTCGAGTCCTTCCCGAATTCTACTCTCTAACTGGGTGTTTATAATTCCTAAATAGGGAGAAAGGAAGTAGTTTCTTCTTAATTAAAATAATGACTGTAAGAGTTATCATGCTCGTTTATTTCTCAAATTCCTATATTATCTGGTCTGTAATGCGATAGCACAGAAGCCCTCACATAAATAGTTACTTATCATTATAAGATAGCTTAGCAACCTTGAAATAAAGGGAAAATTTAAGAACCAGAGATATATTCATAGAAAATAATTAGAATCAGTAGGTAGCAAAAAAATACTACTATAGTTTTATTTTGACTCTAGTGCTTCTGGTATAATATAAACATGTTCCTATTTCTTACAACTCTGGAATACAAATGTAATTATAAATATATTTGTTTTAATTGTAAATTGGCTACAGCTGTATCAATGTACAAACTACAAAAGAGACAAGTCTCTTTTACAAAAATACGTTAGGATTGTAATTTCATGTGCTGATTTTTAAGTAGAATGTTAGAAAGATTAGTATTTTCAAAGGTGTTAGTTATAGAAAGCTTTATCTGTTTTACTTTGTGTCTTTTCTTATTTTCTCAGGGATATTGGAGAAGATATTCCACTAGAAAAAGATTTCTGAAATTGAAATATTATTCAATCATCCTGCAATCTAGGATAAGAATGATAATTGCTGTTACTTCTTATAAACGATATCTGTGGGCTACAGTTGTAATTCAGAGGCATTGGCGTGCTTATTTCAGGAGAAAACAAGATCAACAAAGATATAAAATGCTAAAATCATCATCCCTTGTAATCCAGTCAAGGTTCAGAAGATGGAAGCGACGCAAAATGCAATTACAAATAAAGGCTGTGATAATACTGCAAAGAGCTTTTAGACGGTGGCAGGTCAGGAAACGAGCTAAAGAAAAGTCTGCTATTGTCATTCAGTCGTGGTATAGAATGCACAAAGAATTACGGAAATATACTCATATTAGATCTTGTGTTGTCATCATTCAGCGAAGATTTAGGTGCTTTCAAGCCCAAAAGTCATATAAGAGAAAGAAAGAGTCTGTTCTGACTATCCAAAAGTACTACAAAGCATATGTGAAAGGAAAGATTGAACGGACCCAGTATTTGCAGAAACGGGCTGCAGCCATTCAACTGCAGGCTGCTTTCAGGAGAATGAAAGCTCGTAATTTACACAGACAGATTAGAGCTGCTTGTGTTTTTCAGTCCTACTGGAGAATGAGACAAGAAAAACTTCAATTTCTAAAACTTAAGAAGATTGTTATCAAATTGCAGGCACATGTAAGAAAACATCAACAGCTACAGAAATACAAGAAGGTGAAGAAAGCTGCCCTTATAATTCAGGCTCATTTCCGAGCTTACATTTCGGCCAGAAAAGTTCTAGCATCTTATCAGAAAACTCGTTCTGCTGTCATTGTTCTACAGGCTGCATACAGAGGGATGCAAGCTAGGAAAAAGTTTATTCACATCCTAACATCTGTTATAAAGATTCAATCATATTATCGGGCTTATATTTCCCATAGAAAATTTATGAGCCTAAAAAATGCAACAGTAAAGTTACAGTCAATTGTCAAGATGAAACAAGCACGCAAACAATATTTACGTTTAAGAGAAGCAGCACTGTGTATCCAGCGGTGGTACCGTTCCAAAAAAATGGCTGCCCGAAAGAGAGAAGAATATATTCGGGTGCAGAAATCTTGTATCAAGCTGCAAGCTTTTGTTAGAGGATACCTGGTCCGAAAGCAGATGAGGTTGCAAAGGAAAGCTGCTATTTCACTACAGTCTTATTTCAGAATGAGAAAGATGCGGCAATACTATCTGAAAATTTATAAAGCAACTGTTGTCATTCAGAATTACTATCATGCAAACAAAGCACAAGTCAATCAGAGGAAGAACTTCTTGCAAATCAAAAGAGCAGCTACCTGCTTGCAGGCAGCTTACAGAGGTTATAAAGTACGCCAGCTAATCAAACAACAATCTATAGCTGCTCTTAAAATTCAAACTGCTTTTCGAGGCTATAATAAAAGGGTAAAATATCAATCTGTGCTTCAGTCTACTCTCAAGATTCAGAGGTGGTACAGGGCATACAAAAGTGTTTATGATACAAGAACGCTTTTTTTAAAGACACGAGCAGCTGTGATATTTCTCCAGTCTGTTTATCGTGGCTGGAAAGTTCGGAAGCAGATCAGAAGGGAACATAATGCTGCAATGAAGATTCAGTCTGCTTTTAGAATGAGCAAGGCCCGGAAACAGTTTAGATCGTTAAGAAGAGCAACATTAGTCATCCAGCAACATCTGAGAGCAAGGACTGAAGGAAAGAAGCAACGTACGGAGTACATTGAACTCCGTCGTGTAGTTCTGGTGCTTCAAGCTACATGGAAGGCCAGAAAACTGAGAAGACAGTTTCAAAGGCAACACAAATGTGCGGTTGCCATACAGTCATACTATAGAATGTATGTGCAACAGAAGAAGTGGAGAGGCCTGAAAAAAGCTGCTCTTCTGATTCAAACGTATTATAGGGCTTACAGTATTGGACAGAAACAGCGTCATTTGTATTTGAAAACAAAAGCAGCTGTAGTAATTTTACAATCAGCTTACCGAGGTTTAAGAGTGAGAAAAAAAGTAAAAGAGAGCAACAAAGCCGCTGTCACTATACAGTCTAACTATAAAGCATACAAAACCAAAAAGAAATATGCAACCCAGAGAGCTTCAGCTATTATGATTCAGAGATGGTATCGAGATACTAAGATAGCAAAACAACAACGTAGGGAATATCTTAATTTAAAGAACGCAGCGATTAAGATCCAAGCTGTTTATAGAGGTATCAGAGTAAGAAGACAAATTCAACGCATGCACTTGGCAGCCACTTTTATTAAAGCCATGTTTAAAATGCATCAGTCAAAAGCAAGATACCATACAATGAGAACAGCAGCTATTGTAATTCAGGTAAGATACAGAGCGTACTGTCAATGTAAAATACAGCGTGCAAAGTACTTGACAATTTTGAAAGCTGTTAATATTATTCAGGCAAGGTTTAGAGGTTTAAGAGTCAGACAGACTTTAAGAAAGATGCAGATTGCAGCAACACTCATTCAGTCATACTACAGAAGATACAGACAGCAGAAGTATTTTAGTAAGCTAAAGAAGGTAACAAAAACAGTACAGCAAAGATACTGGGCAGTAAAAGAAAGGAACATACAATTTCAAAGGTATAACAAATTGAGGTATTCGGTAATATGCATTCAGGCTGTTTTTAGGGGAATGAGAGCTAGAAGACATTTAAAAATTATGCATTTAGCAGCAACCCTTATTCAGAGGAGATTTAGAACTCTAATGATGAGAAGAAGATTCCTGTCTCTCAAGAAAACTGCTATTTGGGTTCAGAGAAAATATCGTGCAAATGTTTGTGCGAGGCATCGCTTACAACAATCCCTACGATTTCAAAAGGCAGTCATTAAAATCCAGTCATCGTATAGAAGACTTATGGTAAAGAAAAAGATGCAGGAGATGCGCAGGGCTGCTGTTCTCATCCAGGCAGCTTTCAGAATGCACAGAGCACGTGTGAGATACCAGGCTTTGAAACGTGCCTCAACTTTAACTCAGCTGCGATACCGAGCAAACAGAGTTGGGAAACTGCAAAGAGAACATTACCTAAAGCAGAAGAGCTCTGCAGTGGTGATTCAGGCTGCTTTTAGAGGCATGAAAACTAGGAGACACTTGAAAGCTATGCATTTAGCAGCTATTACTATCCAGTCAGCTTATCGAAGGTTAATGGCAAAGAAAAAGATGCAAAGAGCTGCAGTTCTCATCCAGGCCACTTTCAGAATGCACAGGACATATGTGAGATTTCAGACTTGTAAGCATGCCTCAGTTCTAATTCAGCAACATTACCGAGCGTATAGAGCTGCAAAATTGCAAAGAGAAAACTATATCAAACAACAGCATTCTGCTGTGGTCATTCAGGCTGCATATAAGGGAATGAAAGCAAGACAGCTTTTAAGGAAAAAGCACAGAGCAGCTATCGTAATACAAAGCACATATAAAATGTATAGGCAGTATTATTTCTACCAAAAGATTCAGTGGGCTACGAAAGTAATACAAGAAAAATACAGAGCAAATAAAACCAAACAGAAAGCTCTGCAACACTCTGCACTGAAAAAAGCAACAGCTTGTATTCAGGAAGGTTTCCAAGACATGAACATTGGAAAGCAAATTCAGAAAGAGCATCAGGCTGCCACTGTCATTCAGAAGCACTTTAAGGCCTTTAAAGTCAGGAGGCATTATCTCCAGCTTAGAGCAGCAGTGTTTTTTGTTCAAAGAAGATACAGAGCACTGATTGCAATGCAGATGCATACCCAAGCAGTTATTTGTCCACAGTCTTCTTACAGAGGCTTTAAGGTACAAAATGATATCCAGCGAATGCACCTGGCTGCCACACAAATTCAGGCATTGTACCGAATGCACCGGGCCAGAGCTGTTTATCAAGCAAAGAAAACTGCAATCATTGTTATACAGAATTATTATAGGTCATATGTCAGAGTCAAAATGGAAAGAAATAGATTTTTAGCAGCACAGAAATCTGCACCAACTATTCAGGCTGCCTTTAGAGGCATGAAAGTCAGACAGAAATTGAAAAACGAGTCGGAGAAAGAGATGGCAGCCATTGTTATCCAATCTGCATTCCGCTGTTACAGAGCTAAAACTCAGTATCAAGCTGTTGGAAGTGCAGCAGTTAGGATTCAGACTTGGTATAAAGCTTCTCTACTTGTGCATTCGCAGAGAGCAGAGTATGCTTCTCAAAGAAAGGCTGCAGTAACGATTCAAAAAGCTTTTCGTAAAGTGGTCGCAAGAAGACTGGAAACACAGAAGTGTGCCGCCCTGCGAATTCAGTCCTTCCTTCACGTGGCTGTGCATCGGAGAAGATTTGTTCAGCAAAAAAGAGCTGTTGTCACTTTACAGCAGTACTTTAGGACATGGCAAACCAGAAAACAGTTTTTGTTGTGTAGAAAAGCAGCAGTGGTTTTACAAAATCATTACAGAGCGTTTCTGTGTGCAAAATATCAAAGACAAGCTTACTTACAAATCAGAAGCAGTGTTATCATTATTCAAGCTAGAATGAAGGGATTCATACAGAAACAGAAGTTTCAGAAAATTAAAGATAGCACCATAAAAATCCAGGTATTTATACATTTAATTTTAATATAAAACTTTGATTCTTTTTACCAATATTTGTTAGAATTTATCAAATCAGCTTAAGCAGGTCATAAAGAATGCTACTTAGTTGGGTGACCATTTTATTTTTCTTCCAAAGTGGGAAAATTTTGAGAGTGAGAAAAGGGGCACCAATAATAATTAAGTCAAGACCCCACAGAACTGGGATTGTTCTGGCCATGTTCACCCAAGGCTTGGCACATTTCAATAGGTGTTAATTTTAGCACTCAGAAGAATTTGGAGAATATAGTCTGATTGATGGGAGCACTCTCAAATTTATTTAAGTGTAATTTTTATGATAAAGTACTATTTTGTATAATTTAAGCCAAACAGGATAACTGCACTTCTTTACCACTCTGTTAACCAGAGCTACTTAGGATAGATAGACATACTTCATTCAAAGTATTTAGCACTTTTGGCTTCCAAAGTGCTTTCATATTATTTTGTTTGATCTATTCTTCAGATCTATGAGGAACACGAGGTTTTATCTCCATTTGAAATATGAGGAAACGAAGAGAGTTTACTAAGTAACTTGCCAATGTTGCAGAGAGAGGTAGATCTAGGCATTGAATCTATTGGAGCTATTTCTTTTCTACCACAATAGAGTGGGTTTTGAACCTATGTGTGATGTGTTGATAGTTGCTGGGTTGCTGTTAAGCTTCGAAATAATATTCTTATTCAACAAAAGCCGAGTGCTTGCAATGTACGAAATACTATACTGGGTGAATAGAACAGACAGTGCATGAGCTGTATTTAGTTACTGTCCTCAAAGAACTTAATGGAGCCAGGAAGAACAATTGTAATTGTGTTACTGGAAACATAAGCGAAGGGGAACCTAAGCTAATTCCAGGGATCACAGAAACCTTCCTAGAGCAAGCGGATTGAAGATGAGATGTTAAGCGGAAAGATGAATTGCAGTGTGTGAAATGAACTGTAAAATGTATGGAAACAAGATTCCACTCACAGGAGTTAATGGGAGAAAGTCCAAAAATGATAGTGTGTATAGTGCAATAAAAAGAGGGATATGAGACTAGGTTGGTGGTAGAGAGAGTAAGACTATGGATGATTTTGTAAGACATGGAAACGAAATTAGTCTTTATCCTCCAGACTAAGAGAAGCTCTAGAGGAATTTAAGCAGGAGAAGACCAGAATCATATTTTTATTTTTGAAAAATTACTCTGGCAGAAATGTGGAAGATGAGCTGGCAGGGGAGCAAAAACTAGAAGCCCAGAGACTAGTTAGAATATTAGCAGTAGGTCTGGTGAAAGATATTTATAAGTTCAGTATAATTATATGGGATTATGAGAATTTGATTTGAAGGATGGAATTAGCAGGGTATAGAGCGTACACAAAGAATTATGCCATGTTTGTGGCTTAAGTAACTAGGTGTACGGTGCCCTTCACTGAGATATGGAACAAAGGCAGAAGTAGGTTTGGAAATTGGTGATGAGTTGATTTTGAGGTACATGAAGTCTGAAATACATAGCAGATGTCCAAGTTGAGACGTCCAGTAGGCAGCTGGCTTATTTGGAGTTTCAGGAGAGTAGCATGGATTTCAAAATTTGACTTGGATATTATTAGCACACACATGGTAACTGAAGTCATGAGGGTGATGGGATCACCTAGGAAGAATGTTTAGAGGGGGTAAAAGAGCTTGGAACATCTGAAGAACATCAGAATTTAAGGGCATGCCAAAGAGAAGCCAACAATTGCAATGAAGAGGGAAAGAAGAAAACTAAGAAAGTATGGTATCAGGAAACCAAGGGTCAAGAGTATTACAGCTTCTAGGAGAAAGATGTGTTCAACTTCCAAATGCTGCCAAGAGGTTAAGATTGAAAAATGTTAATGGGATGTATTGGTTCGGGTTATATTAAACTGTAAATGACAGAAAAGCAAAAATAACAGTCTTATGAAAATTCAAAGGTTTTTTCACTTATGTAATTAAATCATAAAATTATATTTTGCACATGTAATTTTTAGCATATACCGGTGATCTCAAACTTTGCTGCACTTTGCAATCAACTGGAAAAAATGCCAAAGACTGGCTCTAACCCCAAGACATTCTGATTTAATTGGTCTGGGGAGCAACCTGGGCATCAGGATTTTTAAAAGCTCCCAGGTGATTCTGCAGGGCAGCAAGGTTTGGGAACCACTGATACATACTGTGCATTACTGAATACATTTATACATACGTGTTGGTATTCAGGATTATTTACATAGAAACTACGGATAGTATACTCGGAGTGAGTTAAGGGAATTCCAAGAGTAATTTTGACCATATGTAATTCTTGCCTTATTAACTAAATGAAGTAATTAATCCCCATATAAGGTGTGACTGCAGTACGTGTTGCAGGAGTTTTGGAGTCAAACAGATGTGGGTTCAAATCTTACTATCCTTTTCTGACTCCGGTAACAAGTCTCTCCTTTCTCAACCTCAATTCCCTTTCCTATAAAACAGAGATCCTAATAATGATCTTAAAAGATAGTTGTAAAGATTAAATGAAATAGTTCTCACACTCCCTGTGTGGCATCAATAAGTTACTTAAACTCTCTGGGCCTTGGTTTCCTCATGTTGCTGTGAGGACTAAAAATGGTTACTACAGTGCTAAGTGCTCAGGAAGTGGTAGCTGTCACTTAAACTTGTAGCCAGTCACAAGGTTGCCAAAATTGGAAGTCTGACAGTCTTTTGAGAGATAGGAGCTCTATTCTGCTGCAGGGTGGACTCAGGCTGTGCATAGGATGGATGGGGTGGGAAGAGGGAGAGCTTCCTCTTCCTCCCCAGATAGTAGAGTAGGCCAGTGTGTTCATTTTCCTTCTGTTCTTCCAAATGGATTGAGGTGGTGGGGACATGGCACATATCTGCTTTTCCAGATACTGTGCATATTTTACAATTTTTAAGTATTGGTTAGAATTATGTTAGGCCAAGCTGGTAGCCAGCTATAAGTTATGTGCAATAAAACACATAGTAGGCATTCACTGTAGTAAGCACCAGTGTTCTTAATGATTGTATAACTCAGAGGACTCACTATGGGTCAAGATGAATGAGCCTAATAGAACAGGCATGACATGGCAATATTTTTACAATTGATTTTTGTCTGTGCTAGTCTTGTATTAACCTTATTAACTGTATTTAATACAGATTCATACAATTTACAGAAAAATAGAGCACTCATTGCACATTTGCTTTACTTATGCGTTTAATAGGCTGTGTGGAGGAAATATAAAGCCATGAAAGCTGCCTGCAAGATTCAAGCCTGGTATAGATGTTGCAGAGCACGTAAAGAATATCTAGCTGTATTAAAAGCTGTTAAAATCATTCAAGGTTGCTTCTATACCAAACTGGAGAGAACACGGTAATGTATCATAGCTATGTGTGAGAGAAAGAGTGTATGTGCGCGTGTGGTAGCCGAGTCCTTATATAAAATAACACTGCTTGCTGATTTTTTTTCTTTTTTTTAATGTTTGCTGTGCTTAATTTGTATGGTTGGTTTTGTTGCTGTTTTCTCAGTTAATGAAACAAAATATATCTATATATTACATGTCTGTCTGGTTTTTTGAAGTGGTGCTTATCCTTGATGATACCCAGTTTAAAAATATATACACATAAAACCTGTGAAAGCTGGAAACTTTGTAAGGTAGAAACCTGTCAAAGAAGGAAAACTCAAATATTTTCCACTAAAATGAGTGATAGAAAAGTGTAAGACTGTACCTTGTCAAAGGTGGAAAACTTGAGAGACCCAGAAGAACAAGGCAGTCCTGTGGCGTTGCGGTTCTCACAGGTTTCCGGTGTATGTGTGTGTATATATACATTTACTCTATACATAATTAATTCAGGTTCATAGGGATGAAGGTTAGGATGGAAGGGTAGAAAGAGAATAAAAATCCAGAAAGTCTTGGTTCCCTTACTAGTGCTTTAATCTATTTTGTTGCGGACTTACGTACTGGCAAAAGTTTTCTTATTCATTTTTTTTCTTTCATCTTTATATTCCCCATTCTCTTTATACTTAATAATGAAGACCCTAGTTACCAACCTGTCTGTGCTAATTGTATTTCCCTATTTCTAGTTCATTTCTTTTATATACATTTTTAGAAGCTGTTACCAGATTACCTACTTCTTATTTCACAGCATGACAATTTTTCTTTAGTTCTCAGAATTGATGAATTATGGCATCAGTGATGGTTTTAAACACAGTTTAAGTTTACTAGTGTTAGAAAATTTCCCAAATCAATTACATAGGTAGAATCAGGGCTTGACGTATAAAGATACCGTTGCTACTATCAGCTATTTAGACCAGTGTCTCATTTTCATCTTCTAGATGCTGAATTTCTCACACTGACATTCAGCCTTATTTTCTAAGAAACATGGCAACAAGATAAGTTAATCCTTCTGCCTTTTCCACATTATCGAGAAGAGATAAGAGTCTTTCTATTCTCAAGTTTTATCTATTTCTACTGTGTCTAATCTCCAGTCCTCACATTTTTCCTCCAATTTCTACCTATTTGTAGAATATTTTCATTTAGAAATTTGATGATCTTTCGTTTCAAATGAGCATCCCTTTCTCATTTCCCTGATGCTGCTGATAATTGCCAGAGTTCACTTCCTGACCACCTCTTGTCTGCGCACAAACCCAGTTACAATATGGACTCAGATTTTATACTTCATTATATCTGCTACCATCCTCAACAACCCTTTATCTAGATCTATGTAATTGTACTTTCTTTTGTCCTCTTCAAAATTCTTTGTTGTATTAGAATCTTAAACTTCATATTTAGTGGTATAACTTCTCACCCACTATTGGAATATTGCCAAGATAATTGCAAAACTTCTTCATAGTGTCAATTCACATGTGTGTAAAATTCTGATTGTTTGAATATAAGTATGAATTCTCCTTTTCTTCTTCACTTTTTTATTTTGCCATCACCTTTCTCATTTTATGTATATTTTTTCCTTTTATTAAAGGAGAGAGAGAATAAATATTAAAAAGATTCAAAGTAATTTGAGCTTGCTTTCCAATGACTACTTTTTTAGGTTTTTGAATATGAGAGCGTCAACAATCATCATTCAGAGAAGATGGAGAGCTGTACTTTCTGGAAGAATAGTTCGTGAGCGCTCCTTAATGATAAAAGTAGGTGTAAAGAATTTCAGCTCCTTTTAAAGAACTGCTTTAGCAAACAGAAAATAAAGCATTATTTTTAACGTCTAGCTATGCGTTTGTTTTTCACAAATCTATTACAGTCAATTAAAAATTATATTCATTCATACAAATATTATTTGATAGTATTTGTGGACATGTGTGTATTTATAAACTATTCTCAACCACAGATTGGAAGTGACTTCTAGAATAAACTATTTATTTGGAGAAACTCATAATACACTTTCATAATAACATTGTCTCTAGTACAAGTCAAACACCAAATAAGCCACCATTGGTAATCTGTTTTAAAATTATATTTAACATCAATGTTTTGGAATAGTTGGAGTAGTTATGGTCTTTTATTAAAGAAATCAAAATTTAAAAATTAATTGTAAATTAGATGTTTGTGTAATATTCACTATGGTTATATAACACTATTAATCTTACTGCTACTACTGGTAGTTAATATATGCCCAGCATCAGTTAAGCTCTTGTATATTTACAAACTATTTGATCCTCTTAACAACCCTTTGAGGTAGCTATTAGCATACCCATTTTACAGATGAGAAAGTAAGATCCACAGAAATGAAGTGACTTGCCGAAGGTCACTCAGCTGGTAGGGAGGGGAGCTGTGTTGGAAAACAATTCCATTATAACTCATATCCTTTTTTATGTATGTTAGAATTTGGTTGTCAGGATGTTATATAATTGAGAAATCTAAGGTGTACTGGTGGTAGGCTATGGTTCTTAAAGCTACAAATAGCTTCCTTCATAGCTGTTCATAATACCCATTCTGCTCTCCATATTATAGGTAGCTTTTTTTTGTTTTTTGGATGAATTTGCCTGTAGTAACGTTAATCCTTTTCTTCCTCACAATGAAAAGTATCAGGAGGATGAGAGAAAGACCACCCAGAGATCTGTTCATTCTGGGTTGCACCTTCATGAAAACTTCATTTTTAGTTATAGACCTATATGAGTTTAGAAGTAATACACTATCACCTTTTCATATCTATGAAATATGACAGTCTTGTTATATACCTAAAAAAATGTTTTATATACTTATAATTACACAATGTCTTTTATATTGAGAAATTCAAGAATCTCTAGCAGGTTGAAAATCTTATTTCTATCTATTAATATTACAAATTTTTCATTATAGAGACATCAAGCTGCTTGTTTGATCCAAGCAAATTTTAGAGGCTATAAGGGAAGGCAGGTTTTTCTTCGGCAGAAATCTGCTGCCTTGATCATACAAAGGAATATACGAGCAAGGAAGTCTGCAAAGTGTGAAAGGATAAAATATGCTGAATTAAAAAAATCTACAGTTGTTCTACAAGCAATGATCCGTGGGTGGTTAGTAAGAAAAAGAGTAAGTATTTTTAACTAGAATATCTCTGTCTTATTAAATGAAAGTATTTGTTGTTAAATAGTATTAAGAAATTTTAGATTTTGGAGAATAATTTCAGAACTAACATAACCTTTAACTTGAATTCACTCACCTTTTGCAGAGCCATGTAACAAGAGCACTGGTTCCCATAGATTTCGGTTCTATGAACCTACTATTTCCCACAGATGCTCACCACCAAAAATGTAAAGTAAAATTTCCCTTATGTAATAAAATCTTAAAAATGGAATGTGAAGGAGGTCAATTGTTATTCAAGTAGTGTTTTGCTACCACTAAGCAACTCTAAGGTGTTGTAACTACTGTCCCTGTGTAGCTTCCACATCTTCAACAAGAGGGAACCCTCCTTTGAGAGCTCACGGATGTGTCTGGCATCTAACACGTTCGCTGGCAAAGACAAAATATTACATTTGAAGTTAAAAACGGAAAATCTTTTGTATTTTGTTCATTAAATATAAATTGAAAGTCTTATGGCTAAAGGCCACCTTAGAAAGCTTATGCTATAAGGGTCTTATGCTAGACTGGTGCTAGATTATCTCATACTAGAGAAATTAATTCAGATAATTTTGTGTGATTAAACAACCCTATCTCTAACAGTTGTACTTGGAATGCTTTAATCTTTTTTTGAATTTAATATTGATTCACTTCTCACATTATAATTAGTATATTGCAAAGCCTTAAGTAACTAGGTGTTATTAGGTAGTCTAATTAAATTAAATGCTATTCTTTCTTAAAGTGTACAAAATATGATTTTGCTTTCTATATCCTGAGTTATGGGTCACTATTGGAAATATTGTGTAGTAAAAGATTATAATCACTTTATATTATAATGTAAATAATTTTAATTATTAAAAGTTAATTTAGCATTGTTGCTAGTTTATACAATTTAGTATTGAGGCTATATAAAAATAAATACTGATTGGCTGTCTTAGGAGTCAGATGTTTGATTAATATTTTTCCCCCTTTCAGATTTTAGAACACAAAGCCAAAATTAGGCTTCTTCACTTCACAGCGGCTGCATATTATCACCTGTCTGCTCTTAGAATTCAAAGAGCATATAAACGTCACCTGGCTATTAAGAATGCTAAGAAGCAGATCAGTTCAGTCATCTGTATTCAGGTTAGCTTCTCTTTTTCAGTAAAACTCTCCAATTTTTCTGTTATCATTGTTTGGAATTTAATAGACAACTTATGAAGATCGTATAGCCTTTAGCCTTTTGCCATTGACGAGTAAAGAATAGTTTGATGTTTTATGTCACAAAAGTAAAGCTGTGAATTATTCCCCAAAGTATTTGTATCACTTCTTTTCTCACATTCTTCTCAATACATGATATCTGAAGACTTTCTGACTTTTGCCATCCTGATAAATGAGACATGGTACCTCATTTTTGTTTTGGATTTCTTTGGTTACTGGCAACTCTTAAAGATATTTTCCATACGTATTGGATTATGTGCTTTTTTTTTTTTCATTTCTCGTTCTCATTTTTCTGTTTTTTTTTTATTATTAATCTGTAAATTCATAATAGTGGGGAGGGTTGAAAGATATTTCAATATTATATATCTTTAACTTATGTATGTGTATATAGAAATATATATGCATTTATTTATTTATCTTTTTTTGTATTAACAAAAGTTAAGTAAAAATGAAAACGTCTTTATATATTTTAAACAGAGATGGTTTAGAGCAAGATTACAGCGGAAGAGGTTTATTCAGAAATATGAGAGCATAATAAAAATTCAGCGTGAAGTTCAAGAACGGCAGGACCAGCAAAATAAGGCTGCGTTAGTAATACAGAAAGCAGTACGCCGTTTTCTCCTCCGTAAAAAACAGGAAAAATTTAACAGTGGAATCACTAAAATTCAGGTAACTGAAAATTGTAGGGTTTTAGTGGAAACTTTAACTTGTAATTTAGCTACCTAAAATCTGACACTTTAAAAACAGACATATACATTTTAGAAAGTTAAGAAATTAACCAGTACAGTAATTCATAAATACTACACTAACATTATTTCATTACTAAGCCCATTATTTTCAGATTTCTACAAGGATGTTCATGATTAAGAGATGAACAGATTGTTTTATCTATTTGAATAGATTTAGACATCTTTGGTCATTGAACGGTGACTCGCTATATGTATAAGGATATTGTATATATTTGTTTTTAGAAAAATAGATTTTACTATTTATTAGAACCAAAAGTGAAGTTTTAGTTGAAAAGCATCTGTATTAAGTATAAATTTACAGAAAATATTTACATTGAGGCAATAGATACAGTTATTAGTTCAAAACATCATGGGATATAATCTTAAAGTTACTCTATTTTCTCTCTTTAAGGCATTATGGAGAGGATATTCTTGGAGGAAGAAAAATGATTGTAAGAAGATTAAAGCTGTACGACTAAGTCTTCAAGTGGTTAATAGAGAGATCCGAGAAGAAAACAAACTCTACAAAAGAACGGCACTTGCGCTTCATTATCTTCTGACATATAAGCATCTTTCAGCCATTCTTGAAGCATTAAAGCACTTAGGTTGGTTGTTTTTAACAATATCTTGTATAAAATCAGAAACTTATTTTTACTTTTGAATGTTGAAAGAATATTGCAATACTACCTTAGTAGCAAAAACTTTATTTTATCACTGTGTGTTTACCTGTGCTCTTTTTTTCCGTTTCAGAGGTAGTTACAAGACTGTCTCCTCTTTGTTGTGAGAACATGGCCCAGAGTGGAGCAATTACTAAAATATTTGTTTTGATCCGAAGCTGTAATCGTAGTGTTCCTTGTATGGAAGTCATCAGATCTGCTGTACAAGTCTTGCTTAATGTAGCTAAGGTAGTTTGCCATTTTAATCATGAAATGTTTATTGATCAAGAAATCCGACCCTGCAAGTTAAGCCTAAACTTGTTCATCACTAGAACTTAGATTTCAAAAATAAAATTCATTTATGTGCAAGAGTCAGAGGGAAAAAAATGTTTAACCTATAGTATAACCATAGATGGAAACATTAATTTTTGTATAATTTTAATTCTTCTGTCTTTATAATATTAATAACAATGGTAACTAGCCTTTACTGAATACTTACTATGTGCTAGGCAGTGTGCTAAGTTTTTTTTTTTTTTTCCGTGCATTATTTAATTTAATCCTTTACAATAATCCTGTAAGGTAGTTATTATTCTCGTTTTATAGAAGAGGAATAATAGTACTTATGGAAGTTAGGTTCCTTTGCCTAAGGGTCTAATTCGGATGAATGGTAGAGTTGAATTTGGATTCATTTCTGTCTGACCCTAGAGCAGGTGTCTTATCTACTGCATTATACTGAAATAGTAGAACCTCATTATAATCATATTTGGCAAAACATGATAAAGATTTTGCTAGATAATGCTCTATATATTAGAATTTTAAAGTCTTTTGACTTTGGACTAGTAAGCTGCTACGTACACCAAACTATATTACATTCAACTAAAGGTATTGAGATGACAGATTGTCTTCCCCGCTTAACCCTTCAACTACAACTTAGAGTACCTGATAATTTCTTATTTTGAGGTAGTGTAGCATAGTGTAAGGAGCCCTGGTGGCGGTGGTTAAGCATTTGGCTGCTAACCAAAAGGTTGGCAGTTTGAATCCACCAGCTGCTCCTTGGAAACCCTGTGGGGTAATTCGCCTCTGTCCTTTAGGGTAGCTATGAGTCAGAATGGCCTTGATGGCAATGGGTTTGTTTTTTTGGTTTAGCCTAGTGTAAGAACACAAATTCTGGTGCCAAACTACCTGGGTTTGAGTCACAGCTCTGCAGCTTCCTGCAAGGTTGCTTAGCCGCTCTCTGTTTAACTTTCTCAATGGTGAAATGAGTTTTCTAGTAGTACTCACCTCATAATGTTATTGTGAGGATGAAATGAGCTACTACACAGAAAGTACTTGATGCATAGAAGTGCTATTTATGTGTTAGCTGTGAATCTTTTTTGGTTCTTATTTTTATCAACAAAAACCAAAAACCCGTTGCCGTCAAGTCAATTCTGACTCATGGTGACCCTACAGGATGGAGAGGAACTGCCCCATAGGGTTTCCAAGGAGCAGCTGGTGGATTCGATCTGCCGACCTTTTGTTGGCAGCTATAGCTCTTTTACCACTGTGCCACCAAGGCTCCATTTTTATCAATAGTATCATTATTTGTTACTATGAAAATTTCTATATGAATCTAGTGAGAAAACAATTAGATAACTAACTGAGGCATGGAAATTATATCCTAGCCGTATTAGTATCAAGTTTCTTTTCTTTTAAAACAACTTCATCTTCCTCTCAAGAAGGCATGTAGTAAAAGTATAATAAATTAGATCTTAAATTTTTATTACATATCAAAGATGAGTTATCTTTTTTCCTGAGAGGTTCTCACTAAAATCTTCCCATCTTTAAAAGCTTACCTTTATTTACTTCAATTTGTTCATTTTTAGAGATTTTAGATTTAATTCATTTTATGTGGAACTTTGGAAATGAGTGAGAAGGAAAAGATTTAAAATGAGGATAGGCAAATAAATAGAATTCACAGATGTCAGTAATATCAAGAAGTCATTTGTGGAGTCCTTTGTACTTGCTGCAGATGAAGCAAAAATTTGGCTATAAGCTTTTTATCTGGTTGGGCTGCTTCTAAAAGTGTATGTTTTTATCATAACTTCATTTCATTCTGTTTTCTTTAAGTATGAGAAAACTACTTCAGCAGTTTATGATGTAGAAAATTGTATAGATACACTACTGGAGCTTTTGCAGATGTATCGAGAAAAGGCTGGTGACAGAGTTGCAGACAAAGGTGGAAGCATTTTCACAAAAACTTGTTGTTTGCTGGCTGTTTTATTGAAGACAACAAGTCGAGCCTCTGTAAGTGTTAATTGGTTCATTTCCTTTGAGGTTATTTTCTAGTTTCTTGAGTATTTTCACCCTGTTTCTAAGTCTTTTACACATTTCCTTCAGTGATATTACAACTAAAATGGGGTTTATTATTTGTTCAGACTCTTTTTGCGCTGATGAAGTGAATTGAGGATATAAAACAGAAGTCATTTCTTTATGACAGATCAAAGAAACTTTTAACTATAACCTACCAAATTCTGAAAATAGAATTTATTACAACATTATGAGTAACCATTTACCATTTATTTGAGGGAAGTAACGAAGTATTCTTGCAAGGTAGAAAGCCAGATATGTACACCTCCTTGTCTTCCTGTTGTATTCATAAACCCATTTCAGGCTGTTCTATGGTGAGACCTCTGAGTTATTCTCTGTAGGTGTCTTCCCCACTTACCCCTTCTACCACAACTTACAGTACCTGATATTTTCTTATTTTGAGGTAGTGTAACATAGGCCATGATAGGGTTGTGGCCTTTATTCTGAGAAAAGTGGGAAACCACTGAAGGATTTAAAGCAAGGAAGTGATGTGCTACAATTCTGATTTTAATGATCACTCTGCTGATTGAAGAATGGGTTTGGGAGGGCATGTGTGGATATAGGGACAACATTAAGGAAGGAGGCAAGTGTAGATAAGTAGTGGTCTAGGCAAGAAATTATGCCTGAACTAAGGTTGTATTAGTGAGATAGAGAAGGGGATAACTTTTGATACTTTGAAGAGGCAAAATTCACAGTATTGGTAACTGGATATGATAGATACATTGATTATATATTGCTCTTTGTATTCACTATACAAAAGAGAAGATTTAAATAGTGCGTTTGTAATGTCCTTGAAAATTAGTTGATAATTTAAACCAATCTAACTGCTGAATTTGGTGAGCTTTGTTTTTTAATTTGTTTTCTTGGAGAGATTTGTTTTTGATTTTTAGAGGTTTATAAGTTTACTTCATAGTGTTTATTTCTTCTAATTTATTTTACTAATATAGAAAAGATACAAAATGTAATGCTTATTATCAGATTCTAATAAATGTAAATTTTCTTTTTTAGGATGTTCGAAGTAGGCCCAAGGTTGTTGACCGTATTTATAGTCTCTACAAACTTACAGCTCGTAAACATAAAATGAATACTGAAAGGATACTTTATAAGCAAAAGAAGAACTCTTCTATAAGCATTCCCTTTATTCCAGAAACACCTGTAAGAACCAGCATAGTTTCAAGGTGAGCATTTAAATGTACTCTCAGTTTTATTTCACTATTCATTCAATCATTTATTTATTTAGCAAATATTTAATGAACAAGAATGGAGTTTTTGGTAAATCTAAAGGGCCATCTCAGCAAATAATAAAGTAATAACACTGTAACTATGGACAGTTAGTGGTTACTCAATAAATTTTTCATATTAAATATTACTAAGCTTGTTATAGGTTTTGCTACATCATTTTTTTTTTTCTGCAGGTAGGACAAGCTACACTGTTACCAAAGCTGCCAAAAGTCCCTCTTGTTCAAAATATTAACCTCTAACTCCTCCCATAATCCCCCTGATACTTGAAATTTCCCCTTTATAGAATTTTTTCTGAGACCTATAGAGATAATTGTGATTTGACTAGTTTAAGACATGTTACTTCAGAAGTTTAAAAAGGAAAAAACTCTGGGCATTGAATTACCTGGTCAGCCACAAAGATCCTGCTATCCCTGTTAGAGATGAGAAATGGTGCTGAGGTTGTTGTACGGCATGGAGCTGTCTAATTCAGAAGAAAGACAGTAAAAAAGCAGATAAGTGAACCATGTAATAAAGACTATAACAACTGCCAGAACAGAAAGTAATTTGGAAGACCTGCTTAAGAAGGGTGATCAGGAAACCCTCTGTGGGATGGAATATTTAAGCTGAGACCCAAACGATAAGTAAAATGACAAGCTGAGGAAAGGGTAAGATATGTTGGGGATGGGAACTGAATTATGGTTCTGTTTTGGATAAGCCTGGGATGCCCATGAGATAAATAAGAGGAAAATACAAATAAGTCACTGAAAAATCAGGTCTATAATTCTGGGCTGGAGTCCAGGCTAGAGATATAATTTAGGGAATCATTAGTTTCAGGATATAGATGGCATTTAATTGAAAGCAATGGGAATGAATGAGATCACCTGGGGAGAAGAGTATAGATAGAAAGGAGAGTCCCAAACTGAAACCCAAGATAGCCCCAACTTTTCCAGTAGTCAGATAAAGGACCAGCCAAGAGCTCTGAAAAGGAATTGCTAATCAGACTTAAAAAAAATTCCTAAGAGTGTGGAGGTCACTGGTGAATGTGGTGACTACATGCCAGATTAATGAGGATTGAAAAACTAATGGAACACATCAGATACATTAAATATTCATGAATTTATGATGATACAGAAAAAAAGTCATTGGTTACCCTGGGAAGATACTGGAGAAACAACTTAGGATGCTAAATATGGATCAAAGGAAACAACCAAGTATTTATCCCGTCTTTTGTATACAAACTATATCTAGGGTAACCAGATGGATGATGTAGAATGTTCTCCTTTATTAACAAAGTCTGTTTAATAAATGCAGGAGGAATTTGAGACTGTCACTGTTTGTAACCCCTAATGAAATAATAGGTGTACTCTAGGCCATTATCAATTCTTGGCTGCTAATACCTTTAAATGAATTGAGTGGATCAACTTACCTGGGCGCTTTGCTCCATGTAACATATAAAAGTTTGTTAATTTCTAGAAAAAAAAAAAATGCTTACTGTGATTTTGATGAGTATTGCTTTGAATCTGTAGATCAGTTTGGGGAGAGTCAAACTCTTAACAGTATTGAATCTTCTGATCATAGACATGGTATAGCTCCAGTTTGGGGGATCTTCTGTCATTTCAGTAGTATTTTATAGCTTTTAGCATACCAATATTGCACATATTTTGTTAAATTTATCCCTAAGAGTTTTATATTTTTTAACAATATTTTAAATCTTATTATTTTTTAAGTTTCCAATTGTCTAGTGCTATTATATAAATACAATTGCTTTCTGTGTATTGATCATGTGTTTTTTCTTTTGGGGGCTGCTTTTGACAGACTGAATAGTATTTTTTTATCTTTGAACAATCCTTACATTCCTGAGATAAATGGCACTTGGTCATAATGTGTATTTTTTTTTAATATATCGTTGGACTCAAGTTGCTACAATTTTGATAAGATTTTTTAGGTCAACTTTCCTGTGGGATATTGGTCTATAGTTTTCTTAGTGTTTTTGGCTGGCTGTGGTATCAGTAATGCTGGTCTCATTGAGTGAGTTGGGAAATGTTTCCTTCTCTTCTATTTTCTAAAAATTTTTTTTTAGAATTGGTATATTTCTTTCATAAATGTTTGGTAGAATTTACCAGTGACACAGTCTTCATTGGAAGGTTTGAAACTAGGAATTCAATTCATTGAATAAATATACAACTATTTGAGTTATATTGATTTTCTTTTTTTTTTTTTTTTGAGTGAGCTTTGATGGTGTGTCTCTTTCAGAGAATTTCCCCATTTCATTTAGGTTATCAAATTTTGTGGTTCAAAATTGTTCAGAATAGTCCCTTATTCTTACTTCTAATATTTGTAGTGATATCCCTTCTCAATCCTGAAATTGCTAATTTGTGTGTGTACATTTTTTTTCCTTGACTAGTCCAGCTAGAAGTTTATCTTTTCAGTGAACCACCTTGTGGTTTCATTATGTTCTCTGTTGTTTTCTGTTTTACATTTAATCTGTATTCTGGTCTTATCTTTATCATTGCCTTCATTTTGCTTGCTTTGCATTTAATTTGCTTATTTTTTTCCTAATTAATTGTAGTTGAAGCATAGATCACTGAATTTAGACTTTTTTTCTAATATAAACATTTTCATGTTATAAATTTTCCTCTAAGCACTTCTTTAGCTGCATCTCACAGATTTTCTTTTTTTATTTCCCATTTGTTTTCTTCTTTTGATCTTTGTGTTTTATAGAAGGATGTTATTTAATTTCCAAATATTTAGTAATTTTCCAGGTTTCTTTCTGTTGATTTCTAGTTTAAAATTCTATTGATGTCAAGGAATGAACGTTTTATTATTTTAACTCTTTTAAATTTAGTGAGATGTGTATAAAACAGCCCAGAATACCATATAATTTGCTGAATATTCCTTGACCACTTAAAAAGAACATATGTTTAGCTCTGTTTGGGTAGAGTGTTGTAGGAATGTAAAGTTTGTTGATAATGTTGTTCAAATTTTCCATATTGTTACTGATTTCCTGTCTACTTCTATCAATTAATAGAAAGAATTATTGAAATCTCTATAATTTAGATTCATCTATTCCTCTTTCAAGTTCTAGTAGTTTTTGTCATGTGTTTTGAAGCTCTGTTATTAGGTGAACATATCTAGAATTGCTATGTCTTTATAATGGCTCTTTTCTCATTATTTAATTTTCCCCTTTATCCTTTATTGTATTCCTTGTTGTGACATCTACTTTATCTGATGATAATATAGCTATGCCAGCTTTCTTTTGATTAATATTTGTGTGTTATATTTTTTTCAGTCTTACTTTTTTTATCAAATCTAATAATCTTTGCCTTTTAATTGGAATGTTTAGACCGTCTACATTTAATGTAGTTATTGATGTGATTGGATTTAAATCTGTCATCTTGGTAATTCTTTTCCTTTTATCCCATCTCTCCTTTGTTCTTTTTTCCCTTTTCCTGCCTACATTTTTTTTTTTTTATTATTAAGTTAATTTAGTATTTTTTATGATTGCATTTTGTTTCACTACTGGAAATACCACATATAAGCTATACCTCTCTATTTTTACTGTGGTTACTCTCTGTCTACAATATAGATGTTTAACGTTTTTCAGTCTACCTTTGAATAATATTTTATAACTTTGCCATGCAATTTTGATTGTATTTTACCAACCAATATATCAGCACAAAGATTGAAAAAAATAAAGAAATAAACAAAAACTTCTTCACATATGGTTTGAGAAGCTCCTCTGTAAACCTTACTACTCATTTTCAGGATTTACAGGGGATAAAGGAAAGTCTTTAATGATTCCATAAGTATGTATTCAGCAAAATCTGAAAGATGACAAATTCTGCAAGATAAGTGGCTTGATTTGCTTATCAAATAATTAGCAAGAAAAAGAGAAAGAGAGCGAATCCTTGTTAAAAGGGAGTTGAGAGATATGTCAACCAAATGTAATGCAGGTAGTTCTCAACTTGTGATGGGGTTCCATTCCGAGGACTACGTTGTTAGTTTTGATGTAAGTCAACTACCTCCTTTTTTTTTTTTTTAGTTTTCATTATTATTGCTTTCTATTATCAGCATCTTTATAAATCCAATCTTTATTTGTCTTTGGGGGTTGGAAACATTACATATAAATATCTGTGAGTGAACACATGAGAATAACATCAGCAAATTACGCACTTCAACATTGTACATAGTATATATTACTAATGATAAGATATACAAAAACACAACAAAAAATGGACACCTGTAAGTGTAGCTCCTCGTGACTAGAATATGTTGTCTTAAGTTGGGACTACCTGTATGTGGCTCTGGCTTGTATTCTCACTCTAATGAGTCAGCTATTAAAAGAAAAAAATTGTTTGCATCAGGATATTTGAACATTGACTACATGCTTGATGATATTTTCTCTTACCATGTTTTTAGTTGTGATAATGGTTTTATGGTTATGGTTTTTACAAAAGATTCCTTATCTTTTAGAGATACATATTGGGGATTTATTTATGAAATATGACATCTGAGATTTTTTTTTACATAATAAAGTAATTTGGGGAGGTTAATAAATGAAACAAGATAGGACATATGTTGATAATTTTTGAAGCTGAATAGTGGCTACATAGAAGTTCACTATATTCATCTCTATATACGTTTGAAATTTTTACTGATTTTTTTACCATGAATAAAAAGTGAAGAGGCAACATAACAACTGTAGATAATTATTTAAGAACTATTTGCTTTGAAGTAGAGCAGAGAAATGGAATGATTGTTGGAAAGGGAAGTGTGGTCAAGGAAGGTTTTGTTCATTTGAGGTGCTGTAGCTGGTTTATTATACATGCATGATGATATCAGGGCTAAGAGTAGGGAGGGAAGATTGAATAGTTACTCTAAGAAGAAAAAATTTGAGTAGTTGAGAGAGGGTGGGGTTGGTATTACAGATGGAGGGCTTGACTTTTGATAGGAGAAAGTACACTTCTTCCATTTTTAACAGAAAAAAATAAGAAGATGGAAATGCATATACGTGATAGGGATTTGGAAACCCTGGTTGCATAGTGGTTAAGAGCTACAGCTGCTAAACAAAAGGTCAGCAGTTTGAATCCACCAGGCGCTCCTTGGAAACTCTGTGGGGCAGTTCTACGCTGTCCTATAGGGTCGCTATGTGTCGGAATCGACACTACAGCAATGAGTTTTTTGGTTTAATAGGGATTTATGTGAGAAGATTCATGAGCTTCCCCAACTGGTAGATACTATTTTGTCAATGATGTATGAGATCAGCTGAGAAGCAGATCATGGAGGCTATGTGAGGGAGGTTTGAAAAGAGGAAAGGAATGAAATATTCATCTCAGAGACTGAGAAAATATTTTAAGTGTCCATCTTAGGTTTGCAATCATTGACATAAAATAAAATTAGTCATTCTAGTTGTGTAATTTTTCTTTAGCAATATCAGCTGTACAGATATGCGGAAGGCACACATTTGGAATTAACCTGGAATAGAATTTTCCAGGTGAGTTCAATAAGAAAGGAACAACAGAGTTAATGGCATTTGCAGGGTGATTATATTGAAAGACTTAAGCTGAACAAGAGAGAAGTGAAAACATGAGAGTTCTGATGGATGATGAGTATGTGTTGAGGTCAAGTGAACTGGAGAGGTCAGTGGGTGAAAGAATTGAGGTAGTAGGTGTATTAAAGCAAATGACATGGATAAGTCAGAAGTGGTGGATGGAGAAGAGAAGTCTCAAATTGAAATTTCAGAGGTGATGCACTTTATGGTGATGACAGTCTAGTGTGTGACTTGTTTATGTGAGAAGGGATTGGCTGAGGTAGAACAGAAGGAAAGAAAGACAGACAAAAACTTACAGACTAGGTTGTTGGCTTTTTTTGGCCACATGGATGTTATTACTGAGAATGGTGATAGGAGTTGATAAAAGACCAAGAACTAGGTTTCCAAGGAATAAGATAGAAAGACTGGGAGTTTGGTAGAAGACCAAACGAAAGTGGTAGAGCTAAATAAATAGCATAAAGTTCAAAGAAACCAGGATCATTTTTCAAGATGATGGAGAGAAATCGTCTGGAACCAGTAATGGACAATAATATGATTAGTACTCATGCGTCTTTGAGAGGGTTGTAAGGGTAGGATGTATTCAGAAATAGACACATTTTAGTCAAGATAAAAAGGCGAAGGTAATACTCTCAAGAGAGGAACTTTATTAAGTCTTTTTTTTTTTCTCCACAGACTTATGCCAGATTGGGTTTTAAGAAGAGATAGTCTGGAGGAAATCACTAATCCTCTGAAAGCTATTCAAATGGTGATGGATACACTTGGCCTTCCGTATTAGTAAATGTAAACATTTTCAGTGTGTATAGCAGAAAGAAATATTAAAGCTAATCATGTATATGTGTATGTTTTTACTCTTTTTTATAACTTCTAAAATATGACTTTGTATTAAAATTAGAATAAATGACTAAACTCTATTACATTTTTAAGTTTCTTTTATTATTTGATAACTTTATGCATATAATGAGTTAATATGTCTTAAGGTGAATTATAAAACAGTTAATTAATGTCTATTAAAGTACTATATTAGTTTAAATGCAATTATTTTCCTGAAGGGTAAAGAACAGTATACCACTCGTGTTTTATATAAAAGTTGAGGTGTTTTTGTAAAACAAATCTTAGAAATTAAAGATGCTGCCAATTCATTTAAAGTAAGAAGAGGATAAAATAATCCCACATATGCTTATTGACACCATCCTCATTTGTATTCTTGATTGACTGGACCATCCCAATGGGCAATTGAGCCCCTGTAGAGAAATTAATAGAAATGCCAACTTCCTTTGTATACAAAACGAGTTAACCAGTTGTCAAGGACTCGATTCCAACTCATGGCAACGACCCATGTGTATCAGTAGAACTGTGTTCCGTTGGGTTTTCAATGGTTGGTTTTTGGAAGTAGATCACCAGGCCTTTCTTCCGAGCCTCTAGTTGGACTTAAACTTCGAACCTTTCAATTAGCAGCCAAGTTTATTAACTGTGTGCACCACTCAGGGATTCCAAACTTTTAATTTTGAAATGATTGGGATTATAATTTGAACTGGAAAGAGCATGGTAGTGCTTCTAATAGAAAGTTGTCACATACCACAGACCTGAAAATGATTCAGTGTTGAAATATCACTTGTTGTTTTCTATACCTTTGGGTCATTCTGTCTGGTTCCGGGGCCACAGAAACCTAATTCCAGTGCCTATTAGATATCCAGTACGGTTCCAAAGTCTTATACTTGAGTTTTCTGTCCATACGTGGAAAAAATAGAATCTTCCTTTTGAAATAAATCAGTAGCAGCTAGATATGAAGAAACAATTTAACCACTTAACATGTTTTATGAATTAGTTAGAATAATTTAAGGATTAAACCTGATTAGTCTGAAATTGTGGTTTGGTTAGGCTACAGCTAAAGAACATAGTATATTGGCATGTTGAAAAGCATATTCAAATTAACTCTGGACAATTTTTAGTATGATTTGTTTGACTTTTTCCCCCCCTAATAAAGTGTTTTAGAAGCTCCTGGTAATTTGTATTTTCCAAACACTTTAGTTTTTGTTGACTTTCCAAGATTACTTTTGTTTTCCTCTCATTTTAACAGAATTTTAGAGTAAATAGTCTGTTTACTTTGGTAAACTATACTGCTAGGATATAGCGGACCACAATGAAAATGTTATTGGTACTAATTTCTTCTAAGATGGTTATAACCAATTAGTATTGTACAAGAAATATTTATTTTTTAATTAATTTATTTTTTTTATTGTACTTCAGGTGAAGGCTTACAGAACAAATAGTTTCTCATGAAAATAGTAGTATACATATTGTTTTATGACATTGGTTAACAACCCCACAACATGTCAACCCTCTCCCTTCTCGACCTTTTTTTTTTTTTGGTGAAAATATACATAGCCCAAGATACACCATTTCAAAAATTTCTGCGTGCACAGTTCAGTGACATTGACTACGCTCTTCCAATTGTGCTGTTATTCTCACTTTAGATGAAGGCTTACAGAACAAAATAGTTTCTCATTTAACAGTTAGTACACATGTTGCCCTATGACAATGGTTAACAACCTCAGAACACATCAACCCTATCCTTGCTCAACGCTGGGTTCCCTATCACCAGCTTCCTTGTCCCCTTCTGCCTTCTGGCCCTTTGTACAAGAAATATTTAGATGAAATTATGCATGCAAGAAGATGATTTCCAGATGTTAAAACAGTTTTTCTATTGTTGATTCTCAGACTAGCAGTTTTAAAATTTTGCTTAATAACTAATTTTTTTTTAACGTAAAGAACATTCCTCTTAAATTTATGTGATAAATCCATATTAGGAATCTAAACCTTCATAAAAGCTAAAGCATTTGTGAGTCTGTATGTGAGTTGGAGGTTGGGGGAACTGATAGAGAAATGATTAAGCCTTTTACTTTTGGAAGTACCTACTTTCTATAGAGATAGTGCAAGTATTAAAGAATGAATGTAAATGTATTGACTACAATCTAATTTTATTTTAGTCAAGTTTATTAATGATGAAGATATTTGGTGAAGTTAGGTGAGTTCCAAATTAACCCCTTACTAACTGCAATTAATCGAAATTTCCAGTAAATGTCATTATGACCATGCAATATCATTTTTAATTTAGTTTTAGATATGTAAATATATAATGTTACATAAGTATTTTTTGCAAATAAAATCAATCAATTTAAATTCCTGGAAAATTATATTTACATGTCCTTAATATAAATTAGTGCTGTTATTTTAATGTCTTTTTTTGGTGTTGTTGACAGTGTCGTTGTTCCACTCAATTTTCTGTGCTGAGTGGTTTTTCTTTACGTATTTTCTTTTCATCCTTTTCTTTGTTGTTGATTTGCATTTACTGAGTCTTTATATTTTTCTTGTTTTTTATTTTGATGTGTAGGACTGTTATTTTCCTTTGTGATTACCTTAATATTTACTCCTCTTTTTCTAAGTTTAAACCAGTCTTTTATTTCTTTATATCGCCTTGTCTTCCTCTCCATTTGAAAGATCTATGACTACAGTTTTTAGTCACTTTTTTGTTTCAACATTGTCATCTTTTACATATTGACGTCTCTGTTTCCCTATTTTCAGAGTTTTACCTTGGATTTGTTTTTGTGTCTTCCCTATCTGGGTTGACATGTGGTTGCTCTCCCCTATGTTCTTGTCTTGGGTTATTATCTCACGTTATTGATTTTCTAACTGGAGGACTTCCTTTAGTATTTCTTATAATTATGGTTTGGTTTTTGCAAGTTCCCTAAACTTCTGTCTATCTGGAAATGCCCTAATTTTGCCATCATATTTGATAGACAGTTTTGCTGGATGTATAATTCTTGGCTGGCAATTTTTTTTTCCTTCAAAGCTTTATGTATGTCATCCCATTGCCTTCTGGCCTGCATGGTTTCTGGTGAATAGTCTGAGCTTAGTCTTATTGACTCTCCTTTGTAGATGACTTTTTGTTTATCCCTAGCTGCTCTTAGAATTCTCTCTTTATCTTTGGTTTTGGCAAGTTTGATTATAATATGTCTTGGTGATTTTCTTTTGGAATCTACCTTATGTGGGGTTCAGTGAGCATCTTGGTTAGATATCCTCTCATCTTTCATGATATCAGGGAAGGTTTTTGCCAACAAATCTTCAACAGTTCTCTCTGTATTTTCTGTTATCCCCCTTGTTCTGGTACTCCAATCACTCGTAGGTTATTCCTCTTGATAGAGTCCCACATAATTCTTAGAGTTTCTTCATTTTTTAAAGTTCTTTTATCTGATTTTTCCTCAAATAAGTTAGTGTCAAGTGCTTTATCTTCATTCTCACTAATTCTGACTTCCATTGCCTCAGTTCTACTCCTATGACTTTCTACTGAGTTGTCTAATTCTGAGATTTTATTGTTAATCTTCTGGATTTCTGATTGCTGTCTCTCTATGGATTCTTGCTGCCTGTTAAATTTGTCATTATGCACTTCTATAATCTTAAGTTCCTCTATTGCTTTTTCTGTGTTCCTTGGCTTGTTCTTTATTTTGCATGATCTCCTTCCCGATCTCTTTAAGAGTTCTGTATATTAAGCTTTTGTATTCTACCTCCGGTAATTCCAAGAAGTTCTCTTCCTCCAGAAAATTTCTTGATTCTTTGTTTTGGAAGCTTGCTGAAGCCATCATGGTCTGCCTCTTTATATGATTTGATATTGACTGTTCTTTCTGAGTTATCAAGAAGTTATTATATTTATTTATTTTATGTTTGCTTACTGTGTCGACATGCCCAAATAGGCTGCTCATGTGAGCTAGTTCGATCATTGGCACCTTAGAAGCTCTAATGACCTGTCACAAGGTAGTTAGATCTGTTACTAGGTATGTGAGCCCAGGAGTCCACTTACTTTTCTTGTATGTATTCAGCTCAGGTACCTAGGTAGTCGGTCACCAACTGTGTGGTGCAGGCTCCCACCTACAGTCCTAGAGCAAGGCAACGGGCTGACGGCTGCTCCTAAGTTTCTTGGAGAAAATTGTGCCCCTGTTCCCTAGAGCACGTTGTGGGTGGGTTTTGCAGCCAGGCCTTGGGCACCCAGTGCTGTTGGCTGTAAGGACTGGGAGGCACCACTTATTCTTGGACCCGTCATGGGTGGCTAGGTGACAGGGGTGGAGCCAGCAGTCCTCAGGCCCCTGATGTGGGTAGGTGAGGACCCTGCTTAATGGGCAGAGCGGTGTCAAATGTCCCAAACCTGCCACTCCACCATATAACTGACACTTGAAGTTAGGCTTCACGTATACACCCTGTTGTACTGTGCTAATGAAGGCTTACACTGTTGAAATGGGCCCACACAAGTCTATGCAGGGTTAAAAGACATTCAAAGTTCATGGACCCCTTATGCCTGTGCCTAGGCAAAGGAGCTGCACCTACCCTAAGTTCCTGGCTTAGGGGAGCTGGCAGATTATTTATTCCTGTTTGGTAATTTTTTCCCTCTCTGAAGCCGAGATAATGGCCCAGACTGTGTGATGAGTCCTTACTTCTGACCCAGGGGAAGCGGCAATGGCTGAAGCCAGCCTGGGACCTGGTGCAGAGCAGGGAGGGGGCAGGTAAATGGGAGAGATTTTTTTCCCAAAGGGGGTGTTTTTTGATCCACATGGTAGGTTAGATGTATGTACTTATCTTTTGCCAATTGAGTGCCACTTTTCACTGGTTCTGGAGGCTTGAGTAGACCGTCTGCTGCTGGGTCTCCCTCGATGTGGAAAATGCGTCCGGAGTGCCACTGCTTGCCTCACCACGTGTGCCAGCTACAGAGTCCCAGTTCCCTCCAGGTCAGGTCTGGCAACTCCTCGCTGCTTCTGAACTGTCTCTCCCTCCCACTGTCACTCACTCCA